ATTAGATGTTCAATGCTCCAGTAATTATAAAATCTTTCTTTACACTACAAATAAGTATATAATTTATTTTGTTTATTTTCCCTCCATCCCGAATTTTGTTAGGATTATCCGAAATTTCGAGTTTGAGGGGTTCGAATTAGTGAGGTTGTACTGTAGTATCCCTGGCAACGAATTAATACTTCTCGAGCGGGACACATCCAACTCAAATCTCTCATTCCTCCCTTGAGTCACACCGTTCAGCCGGGTGGCCTGCTCTTGATACTTTGCACTCTGTGTACTCTGACGTGGCTCATGGACGAGCGTACAAGCTTCTCGAGTTCGATTCCCGGTCAGGGCAAAAATAATATTTACTTTAAAATCGTCTCAGTTTCTGTAACTGTGTGACGAAGAAAATCTCGGGACACAGTTAGCTAGCCAGCAAAGTCGGACAAACATGTCAAATTGGATTGATTGTTTAAGGATTCCGGGAACGTCAACTGCTAAGGTCTTTAGCGCCGTAAGTGTAGTGCTTTATAGCGGGAGGTGAAAGTTTTTCCCCGACCTTGGTGAAACCCGGCACCAAATCACCGTCGGCTAGAGGAAGTTTTCCACGACCGGGTATCTCCAACCAGCCTGGCACTGCCCTAGACGAGACCAGCTCTAAGCTCCTGACTGGTCTCCTGGCATGTGCGGTAGTGAAGTGGATGTTAGTGTGAGTGTAAGGGTGAGGATAGGACAAGGAAAAGGAAAGAAACATCGCGCGCGGCCCATTTTATAGGGTACTACTCTGGCATTCGCCTGGTATTGACTGGAGAAACCACGGAAAACTACCGTTCAGAACAACCGGCCGCTATAATTATCCTCCAGACAGCGATTGAATTCGACCTAGCTATCTAGCTAGTGTCGAAAATCCTGCCACTGTCGAGAATCGAACCTAGGACCTCCTTGGCAGAGTGTCATCAGTTGTTGCCTAAGCCAACTCTCAAAACGTTACCAGTCAAAGTGTCAAATACATACATTGTTATATTTATTCATTGTTTGTTGTGGACACTGAAAAAGTGGTTTTCAACATATCTGTCTGTCGATTGTGAACAACACTACTGCCTATACCATATAGGAGATTTTCATCAACTTTGGTAATCCTCTATTAATCTGATTGATGTAATGTGCCCTTGAATTTGCAATGGGTATCTTAATTTTTTTGGTCACTTTATATGAAATTCTTTACATTTTCAAAATTTTCTAAAAATTGCCCCATCTTTTTTTAATCTAATAAAGCAATGTGTTTAGAATGGGGCAGGTTCAATTTGCATTGAAATCTTTGTATCTAAAAATCTCAATTTTTTTAAAGAATCTTTCTATTAACTACACTATTGAAGATAGATTTTTTCTCCTAATGAAATTTGTTTTTCAAAATTAAATCTTTAAATAAAGTCATAAATCTGTTGAATATTTTAACAATTTTTATGTACAAATAATTTTGAGAGAAATTGATGTTATTTGAAAATATATTATTATTATTATTATTATTATTATTATTATTATTATTATTATTATTATTATTATTATTATTATTATTAACTTGATTTACCACATTGGATCACTTGAGTCGTTCCACTTCACTTACTCTTCATGGTCGATTGTCGAAGGTTTTCACCTTGAGGTGAGGATAAATCCTTGAGTTACAATTCTGAATGTTATTCAGAAAGGTGATAATGAGAGATGGAGAATGATGTTATGAATCTGTGAGGATGGAGGAGGAGGAGGAAACACGACCATGTCTACGCAGGACTCGAACCTGCAGCCTCCTCGGCACAGACGCCGGCTGCCGCAACCGTCTGCGCCACGGGGCCGACTTGAAAACATATATTAATTAGATATTCTCAAAAACAGGGCCAATTTTTTTTCCCATAAGTTTGCGTCCATAAAGTTCTCTTAATAAATGACATGTAGGTCCTTTTTGTATTCCATGTAGTACATGTAGGTCTTTACTGCACTTAGGAAGCAAAAGATGACTTTCATAATGCAATTCCTTCTCATCTTTCAATTAGGTACACTTTTTGCAAAATATTAGTAAAGTTTACATAATATGGTGTCAACATTCACAACATTCATGACAATTTTTTTTTTGAACCAGTTTTGCATCTTTGAAGCTAGTGATTTTAATCTAAAAGGCCTTCTATTCCTTAACATTAGGTCTTAAATCATATCACTTACTGTTATTTCAAAATATTAATGGTTTTTACATTATTTTCAGTTAAATCTTCTGAATTGTTGGGAGAGTTTTCAGTGGAAGCGTTTGGGAACCAAACATTAAGCTTTTTTTAGTACTAATATGAAAAATAAGGTGGTTGAAACAGTAATAGTTTTATTGATATCTTTGTAATATTTCAATGTTTGAATTTCTGGCAGATCCCCATAAGTCAATACCATACATGAACGGGTTTAACTGCTATTTATACTCTATTCAAATTTTTAATTTATAACCCAGTAGCGAAAATATCTTTTTTAAATATATAGTTATCACCCTATTGTTATGTTTCTTTCATGTCAGAGTTCTATCTAAATGCAGATCCATTCACCTTGTAGAATCTTTGTGTGTCATGAACTTGTCTATTAATCTAAAAGAAGCCATGTTTGTTTACACACCAAAAAAGTGTCGATATCGTCTCATTTACTTTAATAGAGATTTAATTCTAAAATGAAAATTCTAGAATTTTAGATTTTGCAAAAGCATTTGTTTCATAAGTACTCTTGTTAATCATTGACAAATTAATATTGCACTTGAGAGTGTAGAAGGTAAAACAAGGGAACAAGAACAGTCTTTAAGTGCCCTTGATTTGATATTGAGAATGTGATTATTCCACCAATTTTAGTTTGAAAAACTTCAAATATTCAAACTTTACACTTACTGTGTAGTTTTATTGGAACCCCTCACATCTCAATATTTGCATTACAGATGTATTTGAATGTAATTGTGAAAATAAAAGTTTTATGATTTCAAGAGAAGATTCTTGAAATCTCAAATAATTCTCCCCAAATGGCTATGTCCAGATTGCTGAAACAAAATGCATGTACAACAGTAGTGATGATTTATAATTAGGGGTGGATTTTGAAGACCTAAAACATTGCCAAAAATGATCAATAAAATGCTCTTAAAATGCCCTAAAAACAAAGAAAAATGACATAAAAGATTTTATCAAACCCACTTCAGATGAACAACTCAAGCTGTTGGGCATGTTACTGATGTAATTGAAGCTTCTACCTTTTGTTCAAATGAACTCAACTTTCAAACTTTTGGTTTGGACTTTTCTTTAAAAGAAAATCTCTGCCTTTATCGCGAAATTGGCCAAACTGACAATGGCACCGATAGTCGTTATAGGAACCTTAGATTACATATTAATCCCAATGGTTGACATTACAATATATGAGCAAAGAAATCCAAAATGCTTCTCAGGAATTGTGCATTGAACATTTGGTGAAAATGAAAAGAAAAAAATGGCACTTCATTAAAATCCACCCCCTAATTATAATAGTAGTGATTTATTTTGTCAATAGTAATTTCAATTTTCTTCAATAATATTATTTTGAAATAATAACATTATTATTACTGATATTAGATTGATATAATCATAACAAAATGTGGATTGTTTTTTAACATGAGGTGTGAGGCGAGTGGCACAAAAGCAATTCGAGTCTATTTATGATGTTATATCAGAGTATATCAGTCAAACTTTCATCTATTACAATCAGAACCATATCAAATCAAAATGATTTTTTCAGAAATTGTTCTCCATGAACTGAAGAGATTTTATTCCCTTGTGTCATTTTTACTTACACCTAAAGGTCCTAGCAAATACTGTAAAATAAAAGGAATTTTTCAGAAAACTCTTCTCCAACACCAACAACCAAATCAAAAACAAATCTCAAAGTTTTGCTAGAAAATATCCACATTAAATTTTTTTTTTTTTTTTATATTCTGAAAGTCTAATTTTAACAAAGGAATTAGGGATCTGAAAAGTTAAGAAATCAGAAAAATACAATGGTTCACAGAGTATGTATAATAGCATGTACTGCAAACTTTTCACAAGAAACAAAAAAGAAAATGGTGCATGGATTTGTTGCACACAAGAAAAGAGTTATTTTGTGACCAACTGGTATTATGATAAATTAACAAATCAAAGGTTGATTTTGGTTCCAGATCTACCAATAATGAGCATGCATGATATTTTCCTGAGAAGAACTTGATGATCAGAATTACGTCTTCTCATCAAAAATGGATCATGACCTCTGAAACTTGGGAGATGTTTGAATTTCAAATTAAAAATTGCTTAATATCGAACTGTTGTAGGATACTGTCATGATTTTCACTTTTTATCTGTTGGCCGCTTAAAAAATTCAGTCGAATTTCATTTGAATTTATTGGTTCAGCATTGGTTAAAAGATGGCCAAGTTCATATGCAGCAATAAAATTGATTTTCAATAAAATAAACATTTTTAAAGATGTTCAAGAATGGACTTTAACTATGTTTCAGGCAGTTAAGTTAAAAGAGTTTTGCAAAAAATGGATGAAATAGTAATAAGCTACAGTAAAAGTAATATAATATTACCTAAGCTTTATAAATGATCCAAGGAAGCCTATTATTTTTGTTGTTCTTTTAATTAAGATATTTACTTGTACATTTTCTTGACTTCATGTTTTTCATAATTTTTTTTTACCGTGTCTTAAAATTGAGGTGACTTTCTTGTTTTATTCTGTTTACAAGACAGTGGTTACTGCAGTAATACATCTTCAGTTTTAGATTAACTTTCTTGGCATTTATCCTACAGAACACACATCTACGCTAACCCTTTGGCATTTTGAATTCTGCAATTTTCATTTAATTTTTTCCTGGTTCTTCAACATTCAAGAATCAAGGAATAATACAGCTCTTCTTTAGGTTCTAGTGTGTTTGACATGCACAGTTCCTATCCAGCTACAGTTCAAAACAAACTCTTTTACTTTAATTTGAATAGAACAGAATTTAATTTTTTTTTTTAACTAAGAAATCAATATGAGAAATTTTTTTCTAAATATCTTGTTTACTAATAATCTGCATTATTCTACATTAGTTACCAATTGAAAGTCAATCTTAAATTTTCAAATCATAAAAATTCGACCACAGGTTGGGCATTCTTATAAATTTTAAATACGGCAAAGAAACATTTTAGGCACTCAATTGTTCTAAGATCAATCAGTTTTTCTTCCAAAACATTTGCAATGATGAAAGTGAAGATTAATAGACTTATTCATAGTGTCAAGACCCACTATGTCTTCACTCTCAATACTACTAACACATAACCTTCATCAATATCATTTGGAGTAAATGGAAAAAAAATGAAAATTAAACACTTAACAATAATGTAAGTGTGTATTTCCATAACAGTATCAACCCTTAAAAAATATACAATACAAATACCTTTCATACAAATAACAGTTGAAAACCTAGTCTATACATGAAGTAACCTGGTGTTTCACAAGTGATGACAATAATTCAACAGGATGAATTGAACAAACTAGTACCAGCAAAATATTTTCAGAAAGAATCATGATTCCACAAATCTACCATGATTTTGCATATTCACTTATGAAACCTGCTCTGGTGATACCTGTCCCTCAAATTCTGTGGAGTACTATTGGCTCATCAGCAATTACTTTGAACAAGAAATCTTTTTTCCTTCCAATTCTTGGTGCTTTTGAGATAAGCCTACAGTAAACAAAACAGTCAGCACTGTTTGTTTTGCTGCAGAATCGAATTCAGCTTACAAGTCGTCTTTTTTGTGGTTTGACCGTAAGCACATTGAGAAAATTAACCATTTCAGAATTGAACATTATCAACTTTAATAAATTTTGAAAAAGCTACATTTTGAACTGAGTTTAATTACAACAAATTGAAACAAGAAGTGAAACAGTTAAGAAGGGAATAAATCATCGTAAAAATAAAATAAAATTTAGTTTTTATTTGAAAAGATTCCAACACCTTTTTTTCAATGTTGCATTTCTTAATGTATTAAGATCATTTTTTTACAATTTTTGAAACATAGATTAGGGGTAAAATAAGGAAGTGAGAAGAAACAAAAAAAATCAAAGGTTTCTGCTCTGCAGATAAATAATTATGTACCCAGCAGACTTGCACACATTATTATAAATATGTGAAGTTTTTAGGAAAACTTAAAAGTATTTGATTAAGAACAACAAAATATAAACAAATAATACTTTAAGTTATTTCATTATAGCCCAACAAAAAAAAACTACAATAAACTAATAGAAGAGTATTACAATGAATCTTTTTAATTTTGTGTGAATCGTTTTCTGTTATTTTTCATCTTTTATCTAATTCACAATATTATTGCCCACTTGCATAACTAAAGGATAGAATTTAAATGTTCCCAACAACAGTTTCAAGAGTTCTGTATTTAATCAAGAGCAGAACATCACAGTTGAGCCAATTACTAAGAAAAATTTTAGAAAAATCCATCATTAATATTATTTCTCAATGAATCTAGTATGTAATTCCATGACATAGGTAGTAGAAATAAATATGTAACATTGGAATAATAAATATTTCATTACAGTACATCATAGAACTTAACCTTACAAGTAAATTAATTCAACTATAGAATACAATACACACACAATCTTTTCAGTACAATTACAAATTATTGTACTCTTACTATTCATTCTCTAAAAATCTTAATAGTACCATCCAAAGTGCCTTCAGAAAGTAAAATTTGCAACAAGGATATGATCCATTGTTCATCTCTCCTAAATACACGACACAATTGTGCAACCCAGCAGTACAAAAACGTCTCTAAAAACAAAGACTTTGGTTTTTGAAGTACTTTTGCAGTTTGTTCGCCTTGACTCCAACAAGTTGAGAAAATTTTGCTCTGGCTCTGTGCATGTAGTGGAGGTCTCTGGCTTTCCTGTAAATAAATTAAATACATCAATTCTGAATTTAAAAAAATTATATACAGTGAAATACAGATTTCAATTTTTAAAGACCTCTCAACAAAAATCACTATTAATCATTTTTACATCTTATCTTACTAAGGCAAGTTAGTTAATTATTCACGAGTGCAGTATCGCAACTGTATAAATACTAACGAGTACACAATAGTCTTAGCAATGTATAACAACACATAATTTTATCTTAATCACCTTTTTAACATTTTATAATGTTTTCTAATTACATGTCTTTATGATTAATGGAATTACACTGACTTCGGAGTACCTACCCCTTATTACAGATATAATAGACACATAATACAGATATAACAGAGTAAAGTTTATCTGCAGTTGGATGCTTTATTTAAATGGAATCCTTTAAATCTACTCTAAACACATAAGTATACAGCATGTGCAGGCGCTCAAATAAGATTAAAGTAATTTTGTAACTGCAACCAGAGCGCTGCTCATTACCTGAATCTATATTCCTAACGATTTCCAGTTTTCTCCGACTCGCATTTAGCAAGATATTGGTATGATCAAGTGCTCTTAGCATGTGAATAAAGGAACACAAGAATAATTGGATACTGCAAGGCAAAATGTAACCTCCAAACATATACTTGACTTTGAGCAAGATGAAATGAACTAACATTAACACTTCAGATGAAGGCAAATTATTATAAAACATATTTTTGAGATGTTATAAATAACCCCTAAACACTAACAATTTGCACACAAACACAGACTAGCTACAAAATGTTAACTATCTGTTATTGTAATCTCTTCGTTCACTTACAAATATACTTATAACATTGAATGTTCTTAGTTATAAGTGGTAGCAATGTTTGGAGAAATGATGGGCATCTATAAAATCTACTGTTTAAAACTAGTATTACAACTTTTAATCCACAGGGTTCTTTCATATGACAAAAATGTATGACACGAAATCATGGGCTTTACTTCTGCTTCAACAAATGGCATTAATGAAACCAAAATGCCAATCACTTCCATTACACCATCAAATCCCATCCTGACCTCACTAAAGGAACTATTATGATGTGCAGGAGAAAAAAAGAAAGAAAGAAAAAAAAAAAAGAAAAGAAAAAAAAACGAATAAAAAGTAGAGAATGGCAACTTGAATGCATAGGTCAACCTAAGGTGGAAAATCCTTAGAACAGCTGCTCCGTGTGTGGTGATGGTGTAACAGTTAGCGTATCTGACTGTTGTACCAAAGTTTGTCGGTTCAAACCCGGTCGAAGCTGTGGATTTTGAAAGGCAAAAATATCATTCGTACACCTTCCTTTGGAGGAGAAATAAAGCCAGCTGTCCCATGTTAGCAGATTTACTTGCATGTAAATAATAGCACCTCTGAGCTAAATTCAAATCTTCTCAAAAATAATTGGCACCTCTGAGCTAAATTCAAATCGCCTGTTTCTCGCCAAAGAAATACCTCCTTTCTCTGCTAGTTGGGGAAAGGCGCATAGCGAAATTTGCGTGAAGAGATGGACGAGCAGGCCTCATGGCCTGAGTCTCACCACGTAAAATAAGGCATTGATTCAATTCAATTCATATTTGATCTCACTGATCACGTTTCAAAATATCATAAATCTTCATTACTACTTTGCAATTGGGTTGTCAATACTATCCCATTCGGGCATAATTAGTTGTACACATGAAAGCAGTATCTTTGGGGACAATCTCATGACATTTTTGATCTTTTTTGTGTAACAATTACCCAGGAAAAGATCCTAAACTCAAGGATTGTAACATTGTTAAAAAGTTCTTTTTCACTTGTTTTAATATTTTGATTTATTAATTAATTACTTGTTTATGTACGTCAACAAAATTGGCCCCAAAATGTTTCTATGAAGAGTTCAAATGAACCTAATCTACATTATCAATAATCAAAAAATATCAAAGTGGGTCGTAATGAAGATAAAAATTAAAAAATAATAATTTTAGTAATAGCAAAAAATAAAGAGAACCATTTCACCATGGACGTTTCTTCTGAGAAATAATCTCTTCCCCCAGGGCAGGTCTTACGAGTTGCCTAGTTTATCTTTGGGTCACACCCGTTATACACTTAAATTATTCAAATTTTAAAATATAATATTCATAATGCTCCACACTTTTCCGTATGTGTATGTAAGCATTTCTAACTCCAACACCTCCCAAATATTTTCAAATACATCAAGTAGTTTTATTCTAAGGACTATGTAATGCAAATTTAGAGAATTCAAATACCCCCTCTCGTCCCCACAAGTACGCTTAACCATTCCCTAAATTATTACACTTGCAACAAGATACTCCCTCTAATTTACAATAAATAAAAATAGGTATAAAGTTGTAACAATGAATTGTACTAATTTTACATGTTAAAATGTGTGAAAATTAAAGTCAGAATTAGTTGGTGATACAGACTAACCTAACACTAGGATTGACCAACAAATTTTGTAGGACATGTAGCTGTAGGCAAGAAAAGGTCTCGACAAAAACTCTCGCACATGCAGTTGTGGATGTCGTTGCCTCGTGGGTCCCAGAGTTTTACTTCAATTTCATTGTATTCTAGAAAATACTACAGACTGGGTTTGAATTTTTTTTAAATTAAATAATCAAATAGTTTTGATATATACACCATTCCATAAATGAAAAAAATTTCAATTTATTGTAACAATTTTTATGTCATAACTTTTTAATTTAATTTGTTAATAATAAAATATTTTGGAATAAGACTGAATAAAAGAAATTATTTCAGCAAATGTTGAATTTCTAAAAAAAATAAGTATCAGCATTAAGTGACACTGAACTTTGATTCCCTAACTCATATGTAATGCCACATCATAACCATTGTCATCCTCGTACATAATTTTTGAATGACCCCTAACTTTTCTTTCAACTATAGACACTTGCAGTATAACTTATATCAATGATATTTATAAAGGATTCAACCATAAAATGATGAGATGTACACAATTCTGTTGTAATTTCATTAGTCAAAAACGTATGGGAAAATGACATAGCGAAATACACCTAAAATGGTGGGTGTGTGGCTATCCTTGCATTACTTTTGACCACTTACGCTCTAACCGCAGATACCATCATCAACATGGCTCAGTTTACTGCTTAATTACCCAGTAATAACTGTGTCATACATAAATTGTTTTTATTAATCTACTGTATGCACCTTGTAATCTTCAGAAAATCAATAACAAATTGTTGTGACTTAAGCTAAAACTTCAGAAGAGCTACTTCCTGTGAAATCCCTCCCAAATTGTAGGTGCTAGAGATGCCCACATTTCTATCTTAAGCACACAACACAACACAACTAGGTACCTTGTGGCCTGCTCCTTTTGGGTTTCAGTCCATCCTAATGCTCTATATTGCGCCATAACTCTGTGCACCTTTTTCTGTTGCACAACTGCTTTACTGGGATCCAAATTTTGCCTGTGAAAAAAAAAAAAATCGATCATATTTATTGAAAAATAAAATAAAAGTTTTACAAAAACTTTTAACATTTACTCTGAAATTAATTCAAGTTAAATTAATACTTCTCAGCACACATACTGACCGAAAAATAAATTGAATTGAAGACATATAGTTCTTCGTTTGCATTTAAAAACTGAATGTTAAAAATTAATACAGTGCAATGGTATTTTCCAATCTTTCCAGCATTTTGGACCAAAAGAAAACAACATTTTACATTGATGTGGATTTTCATTAACTTTATCCATTCTTACACAATAACATAACATTCACATCAGTGGTGGATCCAGACCAATATTTTTGGAGGGGGTAAATATAGATTTTTGTAAAATAATAAACATAATTATTATATTGTATATTATTTATGTACTGTATTTTTGGAAGGGGCAATCATAGATTTTTGTTAAATAATAAATATAATTATTATATTGTATATTATTAATGTATTGTAGATATGATACTATACAATATTATTGTTTAAATAATCATTAAATAATTCAAACAAACATTTAAATCAATTTTGCCAAATAGAGGAAGTAAACAACCCCCCCCTCCCCTTGGATCCACCAGTTATTCATATATTTAATAAAATTTACAAAATTCTAAAGAATTTTCTTTTAATTTAACTCAATTTAAACTGGACTAGTTACTGGATTAGCAATGAGATATAAGTATCCAAATACTCAAGAAAGAGTGAAAGGAGAGACAAAAATTGGTGCACATCACTGGAATAACCTAAGTACTATATAATTTCAAGCAAGTCAATGAGCCAATACATAACATAGAGAAACAAAATTGTGTTAACGCACCTATAATATCTCATAAGTGAACGGTGACCAATTCTTGCTCCGGAAGGCAGCACCAATTCATAATCTGTATCATCCAAAACAGCGATGGAAACCTCTTCATCCGGATTTGCTTCAGCTTGGTCAGGGTAACTTGAACTGTAGTCATAATAAGCAGCGTACTCGGCCAAGGCTTCTCCTTCATGCAACATTTTACAATGGCCTTTGTCAATCATGTGTTGTTGAGCAGCTTCCATCGAATGAAAAGTGCGACCTCGGTCATTACACCATAAACACATGTAGTATTGTGACACCTTCTCTCCCAAATATGTCAGGAGACCTTTCATATCTACAATATACTCTACGTCTGGAATAAAAAATGAATGAGCTATTGTCATGTGTTTAATGTTCTTCATCATAGTACCACTGTGATGGGAACAGAAGAGACAATTATTGTCATCAATTGGATTATCTTCGTTCTCCTCTTCCCACTCGTCGGAATCCACTTCTTCAACTTCAGAATCGCTTTCAACATCCATGTCTTCATTTACATTAGATTTGCCTTCCTTTGTACTGTCTGCACGGGGCGAATGGGAAGGCTTATGCAAACTTTTCTCTACTTCGACTCTGTGTTTTTTCGAATTTAAATGGTTATTATAAGCATTTTGAGTGTTGAAAGACTTTTTACATATTGCGCAATAGGATGCACTCGGGGTACTTTGATCTTGCTCCCTCTGTAGAAGAACTCTGCGCTGAAATTCTTCTGCCGTAACAGGAGGAAAGTCTGCTACTTTCCGTTTTAAGTTGTATCGATGCCAGTCAGATTTATAATGTTGCCTCTGAAGTTCTGGGTCTTTGAATGCAACTCGACAAGCAATACACGTGTATTTTGCTTCCATTTGGCCTCTTAATACAGTAGTCGAACTTGAAATAAGATATTACAAACTACTTTTACCGTCCAACTAAACAAACGTCCAAACAAACCCAGAAATGTGACAGTAAATGAACTGTCTAAAAATTAAGAGAAGAGATCATAACCTCACTCCGATCACACAAAGTTCCTTGCTGTTTTTACAGCCATTACATGTATGGTATCGACAGGTATCGATGAGAACTGTCGTTGTAGTTCATTACTCCGCCACTAGGTAGCTATACTTCCGCCACTTCCATTTATTTCTATATACGTATTTTAATGATTTTATGTTAATTGAAATACAAATTGCTCTCAAAATACACCAATCAAAGTATTTTGGCAACCATATACTAATAGGTGCGTAAGTTTACTTTAAAATTAGTGTATTTATCTCACGTAACATTCTGCATCCATGACGTCACATCCCATGTCTGAAAAGGAAAATTTTAGACATTTATTAAATTATTAAGGCTACATAGAACACAAAGAAAATCAGAATAATTCATTATTTTACATAATATAATTTAATATAGTATTGAATCTTAAAGTAACTCGTGATAACTCCCTTACGCTTATCAGGAAACAAGCTGTGGCCAACGTTCGCGTGTTACTCCCTGTAGGAGAGATCAGCTGCGTGATATTTCTGTCCAGGTTTAGGCTGAAATGTAAGTAGAAAGAAGTCTTGCATTTGTATTATTAGTAGTTCTTGCATTTTGGCGGATCCTATTTTCCAGCTTGGCACGTGTTAGTAGAGGATGTACTGCGATATATGCCATAAAATCAATAAGATTCTAGAGCGCAGTTGCTTCTAGAACGAGAAGTAAAATGGATGCATATTCCTTTCTCTTTTCAGATTTGGTGGGTCATTGAGGATCCACCTTTGTGGAGATCAGGCGCCGCTCCGTGTTCTTTTTTTATTATCGCGCTTTTGCTACCGTCCCACTGGGCGTTACCATTTTATATGACTTTATTACCTACATGCAGAGGTAAGTGGAAATTAATTTTGTTATATCTACAAATCTTAGGGTCACATTGCCATCAATCAATAAATAACCTTCAAATATTTAGACAATGATTTTTTAGTAGATATTTATTACCGTCGAGAAATATATTTCTATATCACAAATTCTCAACACCTCTCCCGAAATGCTCATGCATTTTGGGTGTGGTTGATTTGCAATATTGATTGTGGAATTTTGTGGCCATGGGAACTTGCAGTATTGAAGTTGAGAATAAATAATTTCAAGAATTTCAAAGTGTAATTATTATGTGTTTCACTAATATTTGAAGTTCAAATTGTCCCAGATTTTGCGTTATACATAAAATGGATTTACAGTGAGGTTATGAAGCATTATTGAAATATTTTTCATTGTAAATTTATATAATATGTAAATAATTCGTGAGCCGTCCGATTATTTCATCTAGTGTTTGGGGATATTAGTCAGTTCGGTAGGGCCATTTAGCTTGCTGGCCCTGCACTGCGAAAAAGTTTTTTGCTCTAATTAAAAATTAGAAGTAACTCCAAAAAAATGTTTCAGGAAATTGGAGAATGAGATTTTTTCTTTTCGTAATTATCTTTAGGGTCTGGTTGACGTACCGTGACGAATTTTTTATTCTATTTTGAGGTTAAACTTGTAAATAAAATGTTGGTTTCAGCGTGGGCCATTGGAAGCTTCGCTTTATGCCGAAACCTCCCGTGTTTAGGGAGTTACGGCGAAAAAAATATTTCTAGTTACCTTGGAAATAGCAGTTGAATAGCATAATGTAATGTGTTAATACTGCGTTCGTAGTTGACCAAATCAATGGCATCCCTGGATGTTTACATATGGTGTTCAGGAATTTCACGATCCGAAAGAGCACTATTGAAAATTTTCTTTACGCACGTTAACTGTTAATACTTCTGAAATCAAGAAATAGTTGAACCCTATTTTGTTCGGAAACTTGTTTTATTTTCCCCGCATACCTAGAGGAGAGAATTCGAAATGAGTCATAAGAGAAGTTGTTTGGATAAACTGCGATGGAAGACGTGGCAAGGATTCTCGGAGGTTAAATAAGGTCTGGTTTGCTTCGACGTAATGAAGTTTTTTCTTATTAATGGCCAATTAATGTATTTAATTTCGGATATACCTATTCTTCCCGTCCAATTGAAGGAATTTTATTGTAAATTTATTTTTAATGGTGTTGTAAGTTCCATGAAGTAATAGAATATTCCAGGGAGAAGTTCATAGTTAATTCAGATTAAAATGAACAAATGTTTAAACAATAAAAAATTGACTTCGACTTTCGATGCATCAAGAAATGTACGAAATCTGTTAGCGTTCTGTTTTTTTAAAGCTGACCAAAGTATTTTAAATTGTATTGTAAAGTATTTGGATAGCAGGAATCAAATTGTTCATTGGTTTCCAATTCTTTTTATAAAGTTTCTTCGCTTGTTGACCGGTTTATGGTTTCATAATATTCATCATATCATTGCTGACATGCTGCTCGAAATTGGAAAGATTAATTCAGACGTGTCCATTATTAAATGTTGTCGAATATACTACGGAAATGTAGATATATTTGTTGTATTTTTATACGATTGTTTCGAAAAATAAAAGGTTTTTCTTAGGCATATTTTACTCCGTGGAAAGCTTCCGTTTTTATTCATGTTTAAATAAGTTATATGCGGTAGTATGTTACGACCACTTTGTATTGGTGTAACCTTGACCGCTAAGCTTCTTCGCATTGTCCTTGATCTTCAGGAGGCTATCGAAGTCGTATTATATTCTAATTCTGACAATGAACAAGAAAATGCTTGCAATCATGGAGGTCGTAATTTTTTACGACCTGATAAATTCTCAAATTTCTTGTTCAATAAAACCATGATAGGGGGACTAAAATAATCAGTTGTTTTTTTAACAGTAACGCTTATGCCACAAAATTGAGATATTTATCACGCAATAACATGTGAAGTCTTCATATTTTGAGTGGCGGCAAAACAACCAGCTTTGGTTGGAAGAGTGAGCCGACCATATTCGTGTCGCTTAGTTCCCAACAAGTGAAGAGATGCGTAGAGGTGGTTATAGCTGGCCCCAAAGCATAATTTCCAAAAATTTGCAGTTTTCTGTTAATAAAATTAATTGTTGGTTTCGGTTATTGATAACCTTAGGTTCGGGTTTCTATTAATGTTTGAAACTTGTTAATGTATTTCCTATCACGTCCTTCACTGGCTCCTCATGTAAAACACTGTCAAACGTACAATTTAACACCGGTGTTTTATTTTTAAAAAAATTCTTAATGTTTTGTTTCTGAATGAAAAATGCCCATAATCACAATACTGTAAAAGGTAAAATATGAAATAACTGATGGTAACACTGTTATTCATGTGTTGAAACTAAAGGAGTGGTAGTTGCATTACCTACCTTGATCACTCTCTAGCCCGAGATGACCTCTATGCAATCGTATTTCCTTTTCATATTCATTTCGCATTTTGAAATACGGCCAACAAATACGCTGTGAGCATAGGGCCTGCACCTTATCATACCCTTATTCGGCCAATTTATAATCACGAACACTATCAAATTAAATTTTGTTGCACAGGAATTTGTTAGAGGTTACGAATCGTCAAAAAACATCGATGATTTTTTGTCGATGTAGTTTGAACTTCGATGTCGCATCACTATTGGATATGGTGGTATTTCTAAAACTGACCCCCCTTGATAGCCCTGGGCTGGTTTGGTCTCTAGACTCAAACGTGAAACCTTTATTTTGAGAGAAGGTAGTTTATTTCTGAGGTGGTTGATTACAATACTATTCTTACTTTTGGGTTTGTTGCGTATAATTTTCTTCCTTCCTTCCTTTCTTCTCGGAGAAGAAGAAACTTGCAGGAGAGATGTTTCGATAATACAAAAAAGGGCTTCGTTCTAATAATTGAGACTAGCGGCTTGCCTCTTTGGTTTTAATGTATTTTTCAGTTTCATTCCAACGTTTACAGGTTCATAACTACTGTCTTTTGTTGCTAAGCTGAATAAATAGCTCGAAGTACGCGATGCTGTTGCTGTATGATCGCTTTACAGATAACCGCGACCCTAGGCACGTTAACACAATACAGATTCCGGAAGTTGAGTTGGAAGGATATTGTGCAACCATTCTCATGATCGCGTTGCGTGCTCATGACATCATGCCATTATATTTTATGTGATGACAAGAACTCGAGGACTTTTGCGAGTTCACTAGGAGGAACGGGGATTGTGGCATAATATTAGGACGAGTAAATTTGTTAATTAAATATTGCGTAAATTGAAACGAAAAAGTGCTTAGACATTTTTATGCATTGGGCTGTTACCTTTAAGGCTATCTTATCGGAACACTGAATCGTGACTTGATAACACAAATTATACGGGCTTGGTATTGGAATTCTTATGACACCTCTATGCATACGTCGGGAAAGTTGAGGGAATTTCCTAACCAGGTTTCCAGTTTTTATCTTGCAGGTGGAAACAGAAAAAATGTGGAATTCCGTATTGAGAAGTGGACTCGACAGTCTTGTATAAGCAATCGTAAGAAACATTGTTCGATTGACTGGATTTGAAACGCACTCGATGTGCGCAGTAAAAGCGAGTGGATCATTGGTGTTTCTGTCAAGTGACTTGATTTAATTGATTTGTATTGATTTTGGAACAATCTCACTGTGATTAATCTCACTGTTAATTTATATTGCCAGCACACGTGTTTAAAACAAAATTACAGCATTATTTTTGTCACTTATTATTTTTAAGTGTTTAATTACTAGGGTAAGATGATCGCAGACTAGACGAAATATTGTTTCCGCAATGATATGAAGAAAATATTTTAGGGCTAATGTAATAGAATACAAAATTTGCAGTGTAAAATTATCCCTAATCTCTTTGCGGAAATAAAGTAATTGTAAGAGAGCCGGAGCATTTTTCCTCGAATGTTTTCCTTAATATGATCCATCTTCATATTGTCATGTATCATTTCCGTCCTTAATATCGTTCCCCGAACCTGCCTCGTGAACTAAAAGTGTAACCGCCGGTTACTTTCTCTCGAGTTCCCGATGCTAATCATATTCTCGTGATGGGTATGAACCCACGTATTTCCTGGCCAGAGTAGAAGTAGGGCATCCATCAGCCCTTTGAACAGGGTAGGTGTAGGTGGTCCAGGTTGCTTCTAGATCGTGCTAGGTCCATCCCCTGGTCAACTTTTCCTCGGTGCCTTTTCCAAACCTGAGTCCCCAAAAGCATCGGGTTCGGATTTCCTCGTAGAGTTCAGGTTTCAGCGCTTCCAATATCGTCCTTTGGCTTTCGTGTTTGAAGAAACACGAAAGAGAAAAATGACCCTTTAACGTTCATTTTGACGTTTTTTTTTTTTTAGTAGAATAAAAAAGATGGCCGCGTTCGGAAACCGGGGGAAATCAGAATTTTATTACTCTAGAAAAATTAGGAAATGTATAAAAGAGTGAAAATTCAGAAAACATTGATTCAATTGTATAACTAGATGCCATTCCTTTACGATTACTTATACGATACACTTACAAGATATCATTACCTTTGAGGGATTTAACATTACCCCCCCCCCCGTTACTTTCTGGATCTATATCCGGCAGTGGGTAATTGTGCTTGCTCGAGCGAGTTGGTATCACGTGGATGGGGGCTTCGCTGCGCTAGTGGCGGCGGCGGCTGCTTGAAGTGTGAGGCGCGGGGGCCCTCGTATCTTCACCGCTGTCGGTTGCAGTCGCGTGGGGGATGTGGCTGCCGCGCTACGCGGCCCTCGTTGATCGCCGCTGCCTCTGCAGTCACTCTGCCTCGGAGGGCCTAGGGCTCGTGTCCGACGGTGGCGGATTTCACACTCGAGTTAGGTTGGCTTCAGATAGGTAGTTTTGTTTTCTCCGATCAACACCAGGCGAACACAGGAGCTATACGTAGAGTGGACTTCCGACAAGTGTCAGAGTAATAAATCACTCATTAGAAACAGAAGTATTGGTCGT